AAGGTAAAAAAATAATTTAAAAAATATTGTTCAAAGGAAGAAGATTTATGAATTAACTATTAACTTCTCTACTAAAAATAAGGTCGTTGAGTTATCGAGTGTGCCTATTGATGATAGCATAGTGTTCCTCTTGGAGAGTAGACTAAGCAATATTCTATGGATATAGAGCTTGGATTAATTAATAAAAAGATAAATTATCAAAACAAATTTAAAATTTTAGATAAAAAACTATTCCTTGAGAAATCTTATAAGTAAAGTATGATTTATAAAAATCTGCAACGAAGAACGGTCCATTTTTTCTGAAAACCGGTAGGGGTGATACAGTAGCCGTCATATATATTTTTTTAATGATCATCAAAGAAAAAATCCAACTTAAGGTCCTAAGGCCAGACTTACGAAAAAACTAAAAACGTATGTAAGTAATGGAGGATTGGAAAAGATGAAAAATAAATTTACTTCTTCAAGGGCACGCTATTGTGCCTTCATATTGAGGTCTTCCAAAAATATTCAGGATACACTATTAATAATAAAGGAAGAGTGATGCATATAATTTCAATATTTTTAATCATACAATTATGGAAAATGGATTATTATAGGATGTATTTAGTAAGGACCTGATATGCATTTTTTATATTGGTAGATGTGCAGACCACTACTAAATTTCTAAGTGATATCGGCATATGCTGACAGTCCGGGAGTTACTCACGCTTTAGAACTATGCCTAGAAGAACATCCTGATATTATTGAGAAAAATAAACCTATGCAAATTTCAGTTTTACGAAAATATCACCTTTCCACCACGCATACCTTATAGTTAAAGATAATTTGTATGAAAATTCGTAGGTATTTGCAATATGATCTTGTTTGGCCTCCGTATTACGTCAGAAATGAAGGAATGCTTCATAATAAAGGAAAAATTGACACAAACTAATAGCTGAATACATGGATAATTATTTTTTACTTTAGGCTAGATTAATTAAGGTAATTAATTAATTAATTAAGTTAAATATATAAAATAGAAAAGGATAAAAATTTACCATTTTCGGAGGATTTAATTGTAAGGGCAGGATGTAAGTTGAAACTTTCAAGTAGTGGCTTTGCTCTTAATTCCTCTAAACATAGTCAGAAGACGAAGGATGGTATTTTAAAATAATTGATTATTCGGGGTTAAAGATTCGTGGATATCGATACTTTGTATGGTGAAAAAGATAAGTTTGAACAGATATTTTATAGCTTTGGTCTGGAATACGCAACTTGGTCTGAGAAAAAGTGAGATCCTATGGAACTTACTCACTTCTGCGTCCTCTGGCATGATATTCATGCTAATTTTCAGGATGGCAGAGGTGATCAGGGGGATTCCAAGATGCTTCATGAGCATCTTCCTTAAATATAGGAATATAATCATTATTTAGAAGAATCTCTTAGTGATTTATTATGATATGTACTTTATTTGGTAGGAATGCGTAAATTGGTCTCACAGGAAAATGAAGAATTGCTTTAAAGTGAAGACTGTTGATTTTGCGAAAAAGCCTTCAGTTTGCCTAACTGCGATCCCGATGAATCAGTGCTAAGCTTACGTCTATCACATGACAGACAGTCTAATGAGATGTATTCACCCTATTTCGTGTAAGGTGATGAAGGACTGGTAGTAGAATTTTCCCAC